CTCTATGTAAAATGTTTTTTCCCTGCCCCTCAAACTTTTCTTGTGCTTTGTCTGGGTGGACAGTTATAATGCCACATCAGAAGCTGTTAGCTTTTGTGGCTTGAGGAACACAAGTACAAAGTCTAATTGGAGTGCATTTTATAGTATTATTATTATTATTATTGTCTTTTTTGTGATTTGAACTTGGGTAAAGCATTCAAATCAGATTGGAAAATAATTCAGCATTGGGTTGAGAACATGTGTGGAATTTTGAGGATGTTTTTATTCCAGAAAATTGAGTGAAACGATGAATAGAAGGGAAAACACTTCTCAACCTTAACTATATTGTATACTAGCCAGAAGCTCTATATTCATACAAAGAAAAATGTATGAGAAGCTGTCTTATTTTTATTGCTTACATTTCCATGTAACTTTTTATTTTTGAGAGGTTGGTGAAGAACCTGATCCCATATTGGGTGCAGGCACCCAGCTGCATGAATAGCTGGCAGGCTAAGTCTTTCTATTTGGTCAGACCACCAACTTTGATCAGGTAGCTTATTATCAATGCATGCTTTCTTCCTGAGAGCTGGATGCACTTGATAATAAATATCCTTCTAAATGCAAGAGCTGTTGCTGACAACATGCCCATTACCATCACACATTACCATGGTTTGACAGCTGACATGGCAAACATGCAAGGACTGATATGGTGTGCACCAGACACCTTTAATTATTGTATGTTTTGATAAGATTATTTTTCATAAACATGTGCATTATATTGGTGCGTTTCAACTTCTGTTGATAAAGCCCTCACTGGGCTCTTTTTTCATAACCTGCCTAGATTTTAGTGGATTATAGCTCCACTGAACAATTCATTTGCTATTTAAATTGTTGTGCAGAAACAAAAATCTTAGTAAAAGATTTATAGTAGGAGTTTAACTGTTACATCCACTTCAAAAAGAATTGCTGAATGAGCCCTGTAGTCAGGTTAATTGGGCTTTTGCTTAAAAGGCAAGATATGACTTTCTTCATTAGTGCCAGTTTGGTCCTATTGTGGTTTGACAACTGCTTTTCCTTGTGATACCTCAGCAAAGGGTAGATGGTCTTGGTCTCTGTACTTGGCAGCTAGGAAAGAAAAAAACAGATACTTTCTTTTCCTTATTAAAATGTATTATTGTCTGCTTAAAATTTCGCATAGACACATGGATTCTCAAATTATTACCACATTTACAAAAACGAGGTTTTTCTTCCCATTAAAAAGGCGGGGGGGGGGGGCACTTGTCTTAGATTTGCCTATTGGGCTAGGGCAGGTAGTGGCTTAGCTCTGGCTTCAGCCAAAGCTGGAGCTGAGCTACTACCTGCCCCAGGGCCAAGGTGCCTGGGGTGGTGGGGAAAGTAGAGCATGGGGGGGTGGGGAGCATGGTGGTGGTGGTGTGCACAGGGGAGATGCATTATGCTGCTGTTCAGGGTCAAGTGTGTAGGGGACTGCATAGCCTGGCCTCAATCTGGCCAGGGCTAGGGCTGCCACTGCTGCTGACTGATCAAGAGCCAGATTTCCCCAGAAGATAAGTGGCAGGGGGGAGCATGAATTTGAGGGAACAGGCAGCAGGGGTTGGACAGTGGGTGGAGGATAGGTGGCAGAGGAGCAGGCACAGACAGGGGGGCAAGGGGTGGCAAGCAGCAGGGGACAGGTATGGTGGTGGGGGACAGGCAT